ACGAAATTTTATTGCTGTCGCAACGACGTTCCACTCCGATAGTAAAATTATTCTTTCCGTGTAACAGATCTTTTTGCAGTCGCTGCAGAACATTTTTCTCCGTGTATCCCGCTGTTTCTACTTTTATGTACACTTTTTATTTCTTTCTTCTCGCTCTTTATATAATAACACTGTATCGTGAGTTCCCGTAAATAAAGTTTAACCCTGCTATTCTGTTTGGGTCTATTTGATCCGAAATCATTTTTATTTCCCCGTTACATTTTTACGTGGTTACTGAGCGTTCTGGCATTTCATGACTTTGTTTTATAGCTTAGTTTCAAATCTTCTCAAGTTATGAAATAAAGTCATAAAATGCCAGAACGCTCACCTAAAATCACGCAAAGATGTGACGAGGAAATAAAAGTGATTTCGAGTCAAATAGACCCGAGACGGGACAGCAGGATTAACAGCGACAATATTATTATCACGACGTCAGTAATCGGTGACCATCACGGTGATCAACGTGTTAATGCAACGGCGCATACGAATATCTACCGATCGTGGCTGTATTCGCGCATACATATCGCGGTGGCTCTCGGAATTTCGGCGGTCCTGCTCATTATTATCACGTCTGATTATGCGTCTGATCTTTTACCGCACGGGCACACCCTCTCGTTGTTTGCCTACTTAATCACGAGCCGTGCGCGCACCTGTAACTCCCCCCGCGGAGTTGGCTTTTATGCAAAAGCACGCGCATATCGCATGCATACGTAAGCATCGGATATGTTAGAACGGGCGGACATGTTTGCGCGGGCCACTTCTTCCGACCGCATTAGCTCTTTCGTTCCTTGCTCCATTTCCATTTCCATTAATCACCGCGACAATCGCGACTCCCGCTCGCGAATGCGAAGAGACCGTCTCACGGGAAATCCATTCCCGTGCGGCGTCGCAACGGTTTTTCGGCCGTCGCGTCTCTCCCGGCCGATTGCGATCGTGACGTTTCGCGCACGGTCGCGCCTTTGAATTCGTAAGTCACCCGCCACTGCGGCAAAATTATCAGCTGTACCGGCCGTAATACGCCGCGCACGCAAATAACGCGATCGCCGGCCGGAGGCACGAATTAGAGCGCGATAACGGCTGACGGATCGTTCGCAGCGCGCGTTTCGCGCGACTTTCATCAAATCAACCGAGTCACCGCGAGAGAAAGAGAGAGACCGTCGAAATTCCGACGTCTTATCGTCGCCGGCGAATCGCATTTACATATCACACAAGCGTTGAATATAGCCCATCGCCGGGATACCCCCGTCGATGGCTCTTTAATTACGGCGAGTGAAACGCGCAAAAGCGGAGGAGGAAGCAGGGGGTGAAGCGAGGGAGAGCAAATTATCGCGACGTCCATTAGCAGACGCTTACCAATATTTGACAGTCGTTCGCGGTTAATCGACCGTGAGACCGACTCGCGAGAAAGATAGATAGAAAAAGAGAGGAAGAAAGAGGGAGAAAGAGGGACGTAATAAACGGACGAGAAGGAGCGCATTTTTCATGAATGTTTCCGCGAGGCGCGCGCGTCACAGTCGTTGGTCGCGGGTACACCGGGAAACTGGGCACACAGCAAAGAGCTTTATTGTGAGTGTCCCCTCGACGAGACGACGGCGAAGTTCCGCATAAATTTTTCCGCGCGAGCTCCCGGCACGAGCGTGCGGCAAGAGCGCCGTTCAGAGCGGCTTACTCGCGAGGGTGAATCGACTGTGATCCGACATTCTCGGTATTCGACGGGAATAATATCGAAAATAGAAAATCCACCGCGGTTGGGACCGCGGTGAGAGCCGCGAGGTCTCGACGAGCGGACGCTCCTTAAGTCGCGCACCTGCATATCATCGATATCGTTTCATTGAATGTCACTCATATCATTAACGAACTGGGCGGGCCGAGCGAGCGTGCTCGTCCCCGTCGATCGATGTAGTACAGCGAAGGTTTCTTAAGGCTTCTCAACCTACCTAGCGAATAGCGCCGTCAATTGACGACTAGTGTCTAAGCGAATTAAAGGGAAAATACGTTGTTAAGGCCTAATAGATAACGGTGAAATTCGTTAGAGACTAATAAGCGACACGCGTACATACACATACACATGAACACGTACACTCGGTACACGTTTTGGTTGTTAAGCGAATGCTTATCAGAATTATATTCGCGAAGCGATACTCTATTCCATGTAGATATATATACTATTGAGTTGTACGTATACATATATATATATATATATATATATATATATATATATATATATATACTTCCTCGCCTTCGAGCGCGTCTTGTGAAACGAAAGGTTACGCGGGCGCTCGATGTCACCTATCGATCTTCCGAACGTATTAATGAATTATTACGGTATACACGGCGAGAATCGGCTGATCCGACATATGGCGCCGTCGCGCCGGAATTCCGGCGCGAAATTCGCGAGGAACGAGCTCGCGTCTGATGTCTCCACGGGGCGAAATTTGTGATTTTAGCGACCGCATTCCGCTAATGCGGTTGTCGCGCGCCCGGGCGATATTCACCGTCTCTATATTATGAATAATTAATTCGCGCGCGTATCGTTCCGAATTGCGACACAAAACGTCACTGCGCGGCACGCATTCGACGCTGCGAAATGAAATCTGTTTCCGCTCGCGATAAAGAGACCGCGCGATAGAGACCACCGCTTTTATACGCGATTTTACGCGATTTTACGCGTTTTTTACAAACTGTACTTTTGCCTACTTTTGCACCGACACGTATACGATATTGACCGGCGGCGCGGCGTTTCCAAATCGTTTCATTTCATCCCGACGGCCGGATAATCATTCTCGTTGAACGAAACGTCCTAGTTTGATGGTCCGTCGCGAACGCGCGGAATCATTCGGCGCATCGCGAAGGAGAGAAACGGAAAACGACAGTCGAGCCTTAGCGCGCTGGATTTGCGCGCGCCAACGAGACGCTCTCGAAGGCCACCACTTTGTGGCTAAACGTGAAAACGAAACGAAACTCGTCGTGCTCCAGTGTTGTCTAAGCTTTTTAAGCGAAACAGAGAAACCCCTTTCCGCGAGACTGTTTTACGAGAGAAAGAGAGAACGAGTGATCGTGCGGGAGAGCGAGAGAGGGAGAGGAAGTGGGAGAGAAAGAGATCGTGAGAGAGAGAGAGAAGATGCGTGTGAGAGTGCATGCTGACGAGAGAGAGAGAGAGAGATAGAGAGAGAGAGATTGCGACTCGAGCGAATGCGAGGGAGTGAAATCACGGTGTGACAGAATGCGGAGGAATGCGCGAGCGCGAGAGACAGCGTTAAGGGATGAATATACTTGCGGCTCTGTAACTCTAAATATTTATTACACTTGTTATGCTATCGATAAGTTTATATTGTATCTCTATCGTGACAGAATTTACGAGTATTGTACGTGATATTATATTTATACACGGGCTGTTACACACTCTATCTCCGAAACTTCCATTTTTCACCGCGCGGCCGAGCGAACGAGTCCAGCACGCGAACGGGCGCAGGAAAATAAGACAAGGAAGCGGAAGCGAGGAAGGGATGGAAGAAAAAGCGGAAGAAGAGTAAGAAGAAGAGCAGGAAGAGACTCGGTGGGACGGGGAGGAAACGCGAACAGCGTCCGACGCGACTGCCAACGGATACATCCCTTTCTCGCTCGCCGGAAGTATCGATCAGTCCTCGAGATTTTCCTGTTCCGGGACCGTAGAACCGACGGGTAATTTATTGAGAAAAATCGACGCCGGGGAGCGCGTAGGCCGAGGAGAGCCTGACGCGAGGAGAGGACCGTCGCGCGGTAGGTCGAGACCCTGGGTTCGCGCCGGCAGGGTGCTACACCGGCGGAATTTATCGCGAGCCCGTGGACTCGAGCGAGCGAACGAACGAACGATCGGGCTATGAATCCGACGGCCTGACAGACGACAAAATGCTTCTTCGAGGTCGCCCGCGAGCCGGGCCGAAGGTTGATTAATGGCGACAAGCGAGACGAGAATGGGTTCGACCTGTCCGGCGAACGAGAAAGGAATTAAAGTGGCGGTCTGCGGTTGAACCGGCTGGGTGAAAGAAAGAGAGAGTGAGTGAGCGAATAAGTGAGTGAGTGAGAGAGTGAGAGAGTGAGAAAGAGAGAGAGAGAGAGAGAGAAAGGAAGAAAGAGAGAACGAGGAAGAAAGTACGCTTAGAACGTGTGATGATGCGGCCGATGGAACAATAGACTCAGGGCGGCGAGGAAACTGCAGCCGGTGACGCGGAGGGAGACTAGCCGAGTCGTGAAAAAGGAGGTCGTAATCTAAACCAACCGGTTAGGAAAAAGGGAAGGATAAAGAGGCTAGGGAACTTCGAGAACCGTGTGTGTGCGAGAGGAAGAAAGACAGGGAGGTGGCGAATGAGCCTCTCTGAGAAAACCACCGCGATTGATAGCTTTCTTTCCCCTTTTCCTATTCCGCCGGCCGACGCAGGAAGAACGACGCCGACTGTGGGCTTTTTCTCCCCCCCGCGCGCACGACCCTCGCCGGTTTCCTCCGACGCGTCCTGCTCGTCCTGGCGCGTTCGTAATTCTTCCTCGAGGCTGCTCTCCGAAGTATTTAGGTTTACGACGGTAGAATGACTCAAGGCAGAGCATTGTGCGTGCGCGCGCGCGCGCGGCCACGGAAATTAGAGCGAGAAATTCAGCACGCGGTTTCGCAATATCCATTGTCGGCCGGTTATTAGAATATCCAGCGCGCCGGCATGGAGAACCTTGAATCTCCTCGGAAAGAGAGGGAGAGAGAGAGAGAGGATCGATCTCGCTGTAACGTAACGTTCCCGTACGCCGTCTTTCCGTGGCCGCCGCGCCCCTCACCTAAGACTGCGCGTAAATACGCGAGAAACAATTTCCCTGCGCCCCCGAAACCCCTCCACCCATCCAGATCGTTCGCGCGATCGGCGTCGCGCGCTCTCCATTTACGTTTTTCGAATTGTTACTGAGCTTGTTTTTAATAAACTTGTTTTTTTGTTTGTTAGAACGGCAACGCAACGGCCGGCGAATCTGGTGGACGGGCGAACGGGTGAGTACCGTTGCTTCAATTGAACATTTAATCGCGCACACACATGTCCGTGGTTTTTCTTTCCCTTTTCCCGAAAGCTACTCTCGTGGCTTATCGATTTCACTTTTTAACGCGCTCAAATATTAATGCCACCTGTTCAAAATTGGACCCACGTTGGTGTCTATGTGTGTTTAAAATATGAAAACGTTTTGTTATTTATCAGATCACACGTCACATGAGATATTTTATTGTTTTTTTTTTTTTTTGCGAATCATACATATTAAACGCGAGAATATAAATTACACGGCGGCAGGAGAAATATCTGTGGCTGGTAGGGACGATTCGAGAGAGCTCGATCATTTTTCCGAAGTGTCAAGTGGGAGACGGGCTGAAATCGACGATAAAATTTCGCTCGATCTGTCGTTCGTTACACAGACGCTCCTTCGATAAATTTCCATTTTGAATCGCGCAAACGATGACGAATTTCATGATCTATCGTTTACCTGCGACACCCGATGAAAACTGGACCGCGGATGGATGCTCTTAGGAGACGTTTCTTGAAGTGTTCTCCCTCCTTCCTATCGATTTTTATGTATTTCGGATAAATTGCAGAACGGCTAGAAATAAGAGATACGTTTTTTTATATGTACTTTCTTGCATTTTTACAGAATGAAACGATTCCTCGAAGCTATCTCATATATTTGATCATAAACGAAAATATTTGTAACCTGGAGACGTACGAAAAAAAAAAATGTTTTATACAAAAGTTTCGAGATATCATGTGCTTTATAATTCTGTGCATTGAGATTCTTCGAAAAATTTCATTTTTTTTCGTATCCTTACCTCATTATTTTTAAAAACTTCAAAAATTGTATAAGAATAAAAGTTTAAGAAGATGTCACGTCTAATTCAACTGCATGTAGTAAAACTATTATCCGAAATCGCATTTTTTGGGTACGAGAGAATTGTAGGCGTCACGCTGTATTTACAGACGCGCGTGGACAGACGGAAGGCAGGACAGACGCCGGCTGACCATAGCGTGTCTGTACCTATTTACAACACGGTGTATATGACTCGTATCCCAAAAATATGATCTCGGAAGATAATTATAATGTACATATGTTTAAAAACTTTACAATTCTCATTATACACCGTTGGTGTAATATGGCATAAAATCTTTCGTGATTTTTATCTTTAAAAAGAATTCAAATTTGCGGGAACAATAAGAGTGTAATGTACATATGTTAAAAAATTTTACAACTCTCACGGATCTAAGTGCAACGTTATAAAGTGTATCAAATAGAACTCTCGTCTACGTCTACTTTGTCACATATATCCTTCGCAGTTAATTTTATCGAGTTTCCTTCGTGGGTTTGTTTCTCTTCAACGTGCACGAGAAAGCTCATATTTAAAAAATATCTATTCTTTTACTTCCAGTTGTTTCACGTTTATAGAGTTCATAGAGTTTATCGAGACTTATCGAACTGAGAAAAACACACTTCCAAATGTTTTCCCGTCAGACGTTGAAGAAGCTCGACGTATTTTGCGACGTCTTTTCTTTCCCGAGTCCGAAGCAACCTAGTCTGCAACCTATTGCACGATTCGCTCGTTAAATCGAGCGAGCGTACTCGATGAATTATTTCCGCGAGGAGCGTTTACGTAACGAAGAAACAAATATCCCCTGCGATTTCGCACAAGGCTGGCCCCAGCTCGATACGTCGCCGTGTGCGCGATTTCGTCAGATGTCGAAAGGCCTCGCCTGCGAGGACCGCCGAATATAATTTCATGCCCGCGCTGATTCGAGGCGTGGATTCCCCGGCCTGGGACGTGGGGAGTTGGATCTCCTGAAAACTTCCTAACAAGCGCGAATTTCCATCGCGTACCTTCGCGGATTTTCAGCAGCGCTCTGCGAATCGAGCGCGCGGAGAAATCTCCCCCAAGAACTATGGCTAACTCACCGCTGCAGTTTGATACGAAAGTTCACTTCATTTCCAATCTACGAGGAATCGAGCGCTCCCGAGCTCACCTCCTTCGCTCGCGCTTTATCGCCGGCCGATTCTTTCGACGTCGAATGACAGAGAACGTCCCGAGCTTCCGATTGATCCCGCAGAATTACCCCGGGGACTCGTGATAGTCCCGGCCGGGAGAATTGCACGCCTCTCGAAACGTAATCGCGACGCACGTGTGATATCTCGCAACAGACGTTAATGACGTAACGGCCAAGGGGGAGTGATCGGATCGCGACAGATCGACGGGATCGCGTTTACAGACGTGCGCTGACGTAACATCCGAAATCTTTTGTTACAGACACCCGGGCGACAATCCTTTCTACAGCAACATCGACAGCATGCCGGACATTCGACCGCGACGGAAGTCGATACCGTTGGTTTCCGAGCTGGTAGGTAGCCGTTTGCCCATTAACACCATTCCGCCATTGTCTATCCGCGTATATACATATGTATAAGTACACCGTGTACACACATACATATATGTACATTGCCTGGGCCGTCCATATATACATTCGTCGGAAATAATTACCGATCCGACGAAACGTTCTCGTTGTTGTCGTCATCGTTATCGACGTCGTCTCCGTCGTCGTCATCCCCGTCGTTGTCGTCCTCCTGACTGTTACTCCCTTCCTCGTGACCGTCGTCAAGTCGCCCGGCATGAAGCGAGCGCGAGCCCGGCGCGTTTTCGCTCGGCAGCACGCCACCACGGGTTTGACCTCGCGATCCTCGCGGCGAGATTACGTGACCGGTTGAATTTAATTAATTTGCCCGACTAGCCCCCGGGCCATCTCCGGCGGCTGTTTTACAATTTTAACGCGTACCCGGCGCACGCTTTGAGATCGCATTGTGTGAAACGGCGAAACACTACCGGAATTAATTATCGTACGCGCACTTTTCGCCGACTCGTGCCGAACGCTATGAATTAATACATCCCGCGCGAGAGAGCGTTCACACCGGCGCGTCTTGCCGTTTTCTACCAGCTGCTCCCTCCGACGTATCGAACGTGTGCATCGCGCGTATATATGCGCGCGATGTAGATAGATGTTCTGCTTTTTCGTTCACGTCTCCCGCGCCCCGGGGTCTGCAACTACAGAATGCTCGTGCCGAGAAGCCAAGTGAAATATTATGGACTGGAGAGAACGCGGTAAATCCATTCGCGCGGGACGCCGTTTCGAGTGTCGAAGCGAGATATAAAATATGAACCGATATTCGGCACGCGAGCAATCGGGCGAAAGAGCGAGAGAGAGAGAGAGTTGGAGAGGTATCGATTATGCTAATACACTCGGTTAACCCGACGATCGCGCACTACCATTCGATGCGGCTATGTTTGTTTTATCGTCTTCTCCCGGGGAGAAGGCCGCGGCCTCGCCGGCGCCGTCTCTTCCATTCACTTCCCGCGGATTTCGCCGACTCAAGCGTAAATTATAAATTATAACCGCGGCAAATTACACTCGGGACTTAATTAGTTTTTTCCTCCGACCGAGAAACTCTCTCCCTCTCGAACGCGTAGACGCGACGGTCTCTTCCTCCTCCCTCCCGACTGCGCCTCCACCTCGTGAGACGACGGCGGCGACGACGACGAGAGCCTAAAGTACCTTCGTCGCGAGATCTAACTCTGTGTGTCGCGCACGACGCATCCGAGGATTCGCGCTCCTCGAGGTAGAGGAAGAAGAATAAGGAGACGAAGAGGAGACGGCTCTCTGACGAAATTGAGAGAGAGCGTTCTCGCACAACGAGACGAGGCGAAGCGTGCCCTCGGATGCGCCTCGTGCGCCGAACGTGTCATGACCTAATTGCGTGTTTTACGTTTCAGTGTTACCGTCGTTTTCCGCGACGAATCGAATTGCCAATTTTTTTTCTCGAATAACAAACGAAGCCATCGCAACGCGCCAGGCGATCGAACCTGCCGGGATATTCTTCCCCCGTGTGTTCTCCGCTTTCCACCCCCCGCCTGATCCTTTCTCAACGGACATCTACGTCCGTCTACTTAATCGCTCGCGAAATACATTCGCCGCGAGGCAAAAAGAAACGAGAGAATACGACGAGAGTTAATTCGCCGAACGCGCGGTTATCGTCGCGGCGATCGAAGTTTCATCACCCCACCGCGGAATTTCATAATCGTCAGCCGATGAGGGTGGCGCGAGATTGATATTCGCGACCGGTTTTTCGAGCGGGCCGCTTTTAGCCGCGAGAGCGATCTCCGTGTACGGAAATAGCGGGGGTCGCTGTTTGAAATTCGGATCGGCAAACCTCGGGGATTTATTCCGCCTGTGTCGCGCGCGCAGGATGCAAGCGTGTGCGAGCGCGGCACGAGCGGATCCTTTCGTGGCGAGAATCGTTCTCCTGGAAGCGTAGTCGAGGCCGATGGCGGCCTCGCCATGGCGATCGTCGTACGACGGACTAAGACCGGACGGGGAAATTGCGCTTGATTTGCGAGAGAAATGCAAAACGCGACTATCCCGGGTATCTCGTATTAAAGCGTAAAATTCTCTCTCTTTCACGGACGCGTCCCGCATACTCTATTTATCTCAATTATCGTTGCGCGCGCGCGTGCTACCGATGATGATAAAAACGCCCCGCCTACGTCACGGATGCCGTGCTGCGACGTGCAGCGGATGCTTGCGTGTGCAACTAGTGCGTGATATTTTAAATGAAATTCTTAAGTAGTTTATCGATCGAGCGCACCCTCGTCGGCGGGGGGGGGAAGCCGCTGGGCCGGATGGGGATAAGTGTGTCGCATAGAGCGTGATTTAAGTCTACCAAGGGAAGAGGAGAGGGGAGACGCTGAGAAAACGAGACATTGACGATAGAAAGCGCGAGATCTCGTCGGGTCGAAATTAAAATGATTGAAAGAGAAAACCGAATACGCGAGCCGCAGTCGAGATCGATCGGTCGCGGGCCGCGCGCTCCTCGATGACGCTCCGCATTCCGATTAACGTAGATACGCGGAATCTCGTTGAGACTCTCCGCCACGTGGTGAATTTGTTACCCGGTGTTTTGGGAAACCCACCGATCTACCTTCTCTCGTCCACCTCTATTCCTTCATCTCACGAGTAGAGTGTCGCACTCTCCACCCTTCCTGAGTATAAATACCCTCGGCCCCGATACCCTCTTTAGATACCGTAATCCGATGTCTGTCTACCCCCCCGTATATGTTTAATGTTAACAGTTTTATATATACAAACATATCTATATATATATATATATATTTATATATATATATATAATTGTTGTGTATCTCGTATACAACTCGGACCCTATGAAGCCTCCGACGTGAGATATATAAATATATATCTCCATGTAACGTCATGTCGCGCGAGAGGGAAATCGTCCAGGCGGTCCGTGAAAAGCGCGGAAAGATTACTGGGTTATAACCGCGGTGCGTTCGCGATAGCGGCCGGAAAAATTGCGGCGACGAGCCATGCCGCCGGCATCACCGTCGAGCGAAAATTGACTGACCGCACGTGAAACGCGATTATCGCCCAATAATTTCGCCCATTCAGATACATCACGGAGATATAAATTCCCGGGACGCAAATTATCGTTGTCGCGCGCACCCGACGCGACACCGCGGCTCCTGTTACGCGTTTCGCCACCTTTTTATGCGAGGAGGCGGGAGCCCGCGAGTCTCGCATTCTCGCGTCGCGAGTTCCGCTCTTTGTCTCTCCGTGATGTGACGATCGGTCCTAATTAACGTCCATTAACATCGTCTTTGTTGTCAATCTTGTGTCTAAATTAGTTTCAATTATATCCGGAACGTAATTATAAAAAAAAAAAAGAAAAAGAAAAAAGAAACAAGAAAAATTGCAAGTGACACACGTACTAACCGGCATATAATGCTATTTTCTCTGTTTGTTCTCTGTGGCGCCCGTTGTTGTATCCACCTGAACACCTGAAAAAAACAAAACCACTCACTGAAAAAAAACCTCTCAAAAAATCTCAAAAACTCTACCTCCAGGTCTTGAAGGTACTAATTAAATGCCTCCTTAGCCAAATCGATTGATTGCTTGTTCGAACGTTTTTGCATGCGCAATTCTTTCTCATTTGGACTTCGTTCGCACCAGCTAACGTTAACACCGTTACTTTGGAGAATTTCGATTTCTCTTTCTTGCTCGTTCCACACTGCTTATGACTCCTGTCTCTTCCCCCTCAGTTACTCGTTGTCCGTTATTTTTTTCTTCTCCTTCCTTTATCTCTCCTCGCTCTCCTTTCGTTTTTTTCCCCTTTTTTTTCTCATTTCGAATGTATCTAAAGTTCAGACACGCGCGTCCTTTTTCCGCCGATGATCCCGCCACCGTGACGGCGACGTGCATGCCTTCTCATTGCGATTCGTTGAGAGCCGCGCGCCTTCCACCTTCTCGACGGGGCTGGAATCAACGCCGCGGAAACTTTTTGATTACATCTCTAATTTGATACGAGCCCGTTACGCGTGTACCACTCGTTAGCTGATAGAAGTCAGAGTAATTTCGTTATTCGCGGGACATGCAATTTCTATTTTCCGAATAAAATATCGAGTGCGAGGGAACGGCATGTCGGGTCTCCAGCGACTCGTTAAATTGAACTGGCTCCGGGTGTTTCGATCCGTATAATTAAAGACCAGCGATGTTTGCGCTTCAACGAGACGCATTGTTGTCGTGCTTTTTAATGGCTTACTCGTTACTTTGTATTTCGCATGTGGATGTATAAATTACATGCCCGATAAGGGGGAAAGGGAGAAACGGAGAGAGAGGGGAAAAATTGGTGTGCATTACGTTGATGGATCGTCGAACTAAATTCTAGAAGAATAATCGGGCTATCGTATTTTTTTCCTTTTCCTCTCCCTCTCTCTCTCTCTCTCTTTCTCGCGTGCGCTTTAACTTAATCTGCGATCACCCAGCGATTACTGCTAATCTCTCTTTCTCTCTCTCTCTCTCTCTCTCTCGGAATAGAAGAAGCGATCGGTCCCATCAGATAATGATTTTCTTCCATCTTAAACCGGTTATCTCTTTCTCTCGGCTTGCATGCGGAATCATCCGCCGTTCCGATCATCGATATTTATCGCACGAGTGTCTTGGGTTTAGCTGTGGTAGTGATACGTGTTGCGAATAACGGGGAGAAATATTGGGTAGCTGTAAGTAGATGTTTCGCCGATGGCGGAGTTTAAAGGCAATTCGTTTAAAACGAGAGCTCCCTTTGACGCCGATCCTTCCTCCGTTTTTCTCACGCTCGTTCGTTCGTTCGTTCGCAACGCTACCCCGACAGGAAAGCGGTGCGAGAGAAGCGAAGTGTGGGAGGATGGGCGCCGACGATATCGTTAAGAAATGACATCACTCGGGACTCGCAAGAGAGGCGAGATTGAATTGCCACGGTGCGCCCCGCGCGACTTGTCGTCGCGACACCGCGTCCTTTTCTTCCCGATCGAGGGTCGACCAACGCCCGATAGAGAAACGGAAGGGAAATAAAAGTAGAAATACAATAGCGCGACGATCGCGCCGGTTATAGCGAGCGATAAAAGAGAGATTAGCGCGTGGGCACGCGGAATTAACGTCTGATCATCGGGACGAAACAATGGCGCGCGTGGCATGGTTCGCGGGGGCCCCGTGCATAATATCTTAATTGAAATCTATGCTAACTACAAATCCTATGGCGTTCCGCATCTATCAGACGCCATAAGCTAATTGGATTAGATTTTCTCTCGGTAGAGACTCTCACCCGCTCTATCTCTCTCTACCTATTTATCTTTCTCCGTCTTCCTCTATCTACTTATCTTTCTTCGTCTTCCTTTCTCTTTATCTCTCTCTCTCTCTCTCTCTCGCTAGCTTCTCTTCTCTCTGCCCGTCTCTCCGGTTCTAATTTCTCCCGGCCTTGTACAATATTACGCGCGGCATTACATACACGCGCGCGCGTTTCCAATCGAACATGTAAATCCACCGTCGCCGCGTGGAGGCCGCTCGACCTTATTAAGCCGGGTCGACCTCTGATTAGCCTCTCTCGTACAATTTCCGTCTTGGGTATCTCGAGATACAGCAGCCTATAATCCAGACGTTCGAGATCAAGAGATCTTATTAGTGGAGCTGACACGATACTGCGAATTCCGAATACGTTGACCGGCGCGCGTTAAATTCCCACGGATATGAGGGTATAATCGCAGTGCACGTATTAGCTTTCGCAAATATTTGCGCGCGCGAGCGAACGAAAGCGGGCGGGCGGGGGAGGGGGAGGGGGTAATGATACGTTCGTAAAATATGCTCAAACGCGTGGTCAGTAGCTGCACACGGAACAAGTCATTAAATTTGTAACGCTCGCTCGCTCGCTCTTGTCTAGATACGTAAATGTCACACGACTATATAAGTCTTCGTGTTAAATATAGAGAATCCGGAAAGAGCCTCCTTTAACATTTGCAATACAATTTTCTGGACACAGGTTCGCCTCGCGAATGGCCGTGGTGTATGTATACATGAGTCGCACTTACACTCGCTTCATGAAACTTGTAAATAGAAGTTGGACCTCATCGATATTTCACTTGGCATGGGAAACTGTAACGTCACACCGCTTCCTTCACGTCATAAGATTTTCCTACCTCGGCTTTTGATCCTTCTTCCGTTCGTTCGTTCCTTCGTACTTCTCCTTCTTTTTCTTATTTTCTTCTTTTCTCCCTCCATCTCGCAAGTTTTCACGATGTCGTCACGGCAATTTAGTCTCGATGTGAACTCGCTTCTTAGGAACTGTACTTCGTGTATACTTTGACTATAAGGATATATATATATATACATAAACATTTATTTTATTATATATTATTATATATCGCTCTTGAATATATTTTTTATATATTGCATCATTTTCTCTCGTCGCACGTATAAGAGACAGTCTCTCGTCGTGCCGTTCCACTATTGCTCTGACTCGTGAGCAATCACGTTTTGATCTCAATGTCAACGGATATATTTGTAAATAACACCTCACGAGAACTTCTTCTTCTCTTGGTCACTTTTGTTCCTCCACCTTTCTCGATTTTCTTTCTTCCTCTCATTTCTTTATTCTGTGCTATTCTTCTACCTTTTTCTCTGTCTCACTTTTTCTTCCTGCCTTTCTCTCTTTCTCTCTCTCTCTCTCTCTCTCTATCTTTTTCTCTCGCTCTCTATTTTCCTTTCAGTTTCTCAGTCCCAGGACTTTATCATGGCCTATAAAATAGAGAGACTGGAAGGTGTCGCTCGATTGTCAGTTACACATTAATTCTTATCTTTTCTCAGACCATGGCGGCGACGAAGAGGAACGCTGGCCTTACATCCGCCGTGCCTCGAGCGACGCTGAACGACGAAGAGCTGGTAAGGACTTGCCCTTTAATCACTATACTTCATCATCGCCACTTCGCGTCAACGGCTAATAAACCGAGAAGAAACGTGTTTACCCCGACGCGCGAGCTGCGGAGGGTTTAGCTACCGTGCCACCCCGTTGGTATTTAAGTACTTTTTACAAAAAGAAGACGTTCTAGCGGCACTTTTCACCGTATATCGGCTGTATCGCGCGTGAACAAAGCGACGACGAACGTAAATCACGAAGCTCGGACTTTTCTTTTCTCGTCTTTACGTGCGATAACGTAACCCTGAAGCCAGCTCCCCCGAGGAGAGGTCGTGACGATCGTGCGCAAGAAAAAAGGTCAAGTTCGAGGACGAAAGTACAGAGACACGCGCGTCCGGTTCGATCCGCGCGAGCTGTACGATCGAGGTGTTAAAGGTGTTAACGTCGACCGAGGAGAAGAGACACGAGTCACGTGTCTCTTCCTCTCTTCCCCTTTGTATCTCAGACGGGCGTGTTAGGTCGCACGTCATTTAATTTTAAGTCTTCAATGCCGGCGAGATCCGCCCCGAAGGGGCTCGATTTTTAACCATTGGACTCTCTTTTCTTTTCATACGAAACGTGCTGCATTTTATCCTCATTTCCACGCTATTTTCTTTCACGTAAGTGTGGCCCACATGAGCCTGTTTCTGCTCTTTCTTTCCTTTTCTCTATCTATCTCTCTACTCTGTGTCTCTATTTATATTACTTTGGAGCAACGCGTAGCAGCGTGACTTAGTGTAAAATACATTAGCGGCTAGGATAAAACACGTGAATGTGTGTTTGTGTGTGCGTGCGTGTGTGTGTAGGTGGGTGGGTGCCCGCGCGAACGAGCGCGCGCGCAACCACGTACGCGGGAGGCGCGTGCACGCGGACACGTGTCGCACGTGCTGATCGTATACACGCGTGTGTACGTGCACGTACCCATTAAGTGGGAAAGTATTGGTCGATACATCAAGCTCGCACACACACACACACACACACACACGTACGTACACGCGTGAGGACACACATAGAGAACGCCCGTAGGGATCTTCGCGAAGTATCACGGCAGAGGGTACCGTGTCAGAGAGAAATAGCTAGGCTAGTGCCAGGAGTTTCCGATCCCTGTGACGTCGGATGTTCCTCGTGTATCGAATAACTGGTGTCCTTTTCCAAGGCACTTTGACGCACTCGCGTGACACGCGGTAACGAGATATTTCGGGGACCCTCGATTTGTTTAAACGATTTATTTACGCCTGACGTATCCGTGACTCGGCCGATGTAACAAGCGATTCTCGCCGAACGTCGCGCGGTAAATATGAGCGCGATCGCGTCGTACGCTTTTTCCCTCGGAACTCGCTCGGCTGTCCGCCCGACGGCAGGAAAGATGCCGGCGAGGTGAAACCGCAGCTATTTTCTTACGTCAGCTTGCGAAGCGGACGTCGGCAAGCGGGCCGCGCGGATTTTGAAAGATTGATGCACCGGAGGAACATACCGAACTCACACGTTACTCCCATAGTGCTTTTTAGCGGATCGATGCTTTTACACCCCCGCGCGCTCTCTATCTCTCTCGCTCTCTGCCCGGATAGCACGACATCTAGAAAACGCGCGCTCTCTCTCTCTCTCTCTCTCTCCTTCCCTCCCCTCCCCCCCTCACTCTTTTTCTGCTTCTCCTCTTCCATGTGCGGGACCTTGCGAGGAGAAAAAGGAACAGGAGGAAGATGGAAAGAAAAAATGTGTCCCGAAAAAAGTGAAAGAGAGATAGCGCGTGAAAATTCTAGATGTCCGATATCAAACGTGACGGAATGATCTCTTTACGATCGTGAGAAGCTCGTGTACGTATGCTCGCGAATATAGGTGATCCTAGGTGATCCCTTCAAGCATGAAAGAGAGATACCCCGCCGAACGGAAGAAAACGCTAGAGAACGCTTTCGAAAACCGCCGAACGACGAGAGAGTCATTCTTCTTGTTTTCGAGCGGCATACGCGGGAGTAGATGCCGGGAGGTCACTTAAAAAAGAAACAACGCCTCTTAGCGTATCAGTTCGCTTCGCTGTCGGTACTTCGCACACGGGACCTTCCGTAAAGAAAAGACTAAGAAAAAAAAGAAAAAAGAGACTTGAGTATGCTATGGTTTGCGCGCACTTTCGAATCGAGTATGCGAGCAAGAGATCCAAAAAGCACGATGATCCCCGATTAACGAGCGAGTACATACGTACATATATCGACTTAAAGAGAGACTTGGCGAACATTCGGACGTACGAGAGAGGGGAATGAAAATCCTTCGGTTCTCTGCTTGAAATGCGCAATTTTAAATCGAAGCCGGTAGGCACTTCAAAGGAACCCAAACGAACGAGCTGCTCGAGATCGATTGAAATAATACGGTGCAAGTAGCAAGTTGAGAGAGCAATTTGCTTAAAAGGTCGGAATTGAGTGATCGAGAGCGATCTCATTTTTCTCAATCAGAAATGACCTCGCTGATAGATACATGTATATAATATGATTCCCGGTATGTATAATTCGACATCGCTTGTCGATTTTTCATATACAGCGCGGCTAATAGAATTTTAGACCGACCGCTACCGCGGTCGTGATTCTCTCGTTTATTCGCGAACGTCGCGGACGGCACATTCATCCGTTCGCGGTAAACGCGAGGGCGGGGAAAGGAATATCCGCTGAATAAAATCAGGGGAAATTGTGTGAAAACGCAAGACCCGAGACGCGCTTGGCAATCGATCGCGCGAATCGAGAGGACTCGAGGAGAATCGAGAGATTCGACGTAGCTTTAACCGGACGGCAAAGAATAAACCGTTCCCGACGTCGAGAGAAAGTGAGAGACATCATCGTCGTCGTCTCTGTCGCGTAAGTCGCGCGATGTTAACTTTCACGAGCGGAGAACCGAAGTAGAAGAGCGAACGAGTGTTTGTTTGTTGCGCAAAAACTCGCTCGCGTCTGCCAAGTCTCCCGTCGTCTCCTTCGCGTCCGACTTCGAGCGCTGCGATTTTTAACGGCGATGCATTCGCTCTATCGTACACCCGCAGAAGATGCACGTGTACAAGAAAACCCTGCAGGCGATGATCTACCCGATATCCTCGACCACCCCTCACAATTTCGTCACCTGGACGGCCACGTCGCCTACCTACTGCTACGAGTGCGAGGGTCTGCTCTGGGGCATCGCTCGGCAGGGGGTGCGATGTATGGAGTGCGGTGTCAAGTGTCACGAGAAGTGCAAGGACCTCCTGAACGCCGACTGTTTGCAGAGTGAGTAATAACGTCAGACCTTTTACGTTCCGCGTACGGTCGCGTTCAGTTGCCGCGGTCTCGGTGTGAAATTTCGATGAGACGTCTCCGATGAAATATCGGCTCTGTCCAAAATGTTCGATTCAACTTTCAAGTGAAATTTAACTCATAAATTTAGCTCCCGCTTCATTGCTATGGAGGATATTCATTCATCCGCCAAATATCATAACTGTTTCTCTCTCTCTCTCTCTCTCTTTCTTTCCCTTTATGAGTTTTCACCTAACGTGGAAGATTGCCGGCGCTGGAGAATGCAGAAGATTGAAGTGAACTTCTCGGGACTGATTCAAAATATAATTATGATACTTTTAATAATTAATTTTTTCATTTCACTTATTGATGAAAATTGATCGACCAAGCTCGATTATTACGTAAAACAGGCTCCTTGGGGAAAGTATCCAGCAAAGTAACATTATTAATTACAGTAAGATTCCTCCGCGGAGTCGATGACGTCGTCTTAAGTAAATTAGCTCGTCCCACGAAGTGTCATCGCGCGTATTTTCGTACCCATTGTAACGAAACGGGGCAAACGACGGGCTTGCTCGAATTTGAATCGAACGCTTCAGAGAGCCACTCGAGAAATATAGGCGTGATTTCTCACAAAGTCGACTCGAGTGTTCGAAATTGTACGGCGTTATTGTTTCGTCGGGGACAGTGATAGAGGCATCCCGAGGATTCCGCTCCGTCGAAATCTCGGAGGCTACGTTTCGCCGCGCGATAAGTCACCATAATTAAGAGCTTCGAGATCCGTCCATTAACGAGCGGGCAGTAATAAAATCGGGATCCCCGGAGGAAAGGGACAAGAACCGAACAGGCGAGCGAGGCCGAGAAGGGCGAACCCCGAGATTCGTTAAACGGAGATTAGAGAGTGAACGAACGAGCCCGGGTAAACGGACATGCACTCAAACGACTATTTTCCCTGCTTCTTGCGACCGTCTCTCCTCGCGACCGTCACTTTGGAACAAATTAATAATTAATTACCGTCGTATTAGACACACTTCGACGTCTGTCGATCGCTTCTTGCGACACGCCCGGCCGGCCGTTATTTCCGTCCTCCGACGCGTCGTCTTGTCAATAAACGGATGTTATTCTCGTCTCGTAAAATCGATTTATCGCGGATTGTTAGGTATCATGATTGTTGGAACGCGCGCGCACGGACGAACATGAAATTGTTACGGATCGGCCACACGTTGAAAGAACTTTTCGCGAACTTTTCGCGCACATAAATCCACTTCGCCCGCTTTTTCGGCCCAATAAAATGCCGGCCAACGACGCGGCAAATTTTATAAACCGTTCCGATGCTCCGGCGGCGCGATCGGGAAGCAACGATGACACCTCCTCTCCCCCTTAATACCCGGCCCCACGCGTTCATCAGATTTTCAATTTGATCCCAGGCGGGATCCTCCCATTCTCCACGGCGGTATATATCCCTTCTCGTCTGGACACTATTCGCTATCGATTTGTGTAGCGCCCCCGGACTAATGATTCCAATCCTCCTCTCGCCCCCCGGCTGCCCCGGATCCGTGCCCGATAAAGTTTCTTTCCTTGATCGGACAGTCCGCGATTAATTTACAGCCTCTCTCTCTCTCCCTCGCTCATTGCCTCCCAGCCGCCGCCACTGCGCCACAGTTCGCCTCGTAATTCCGTTCTCGATTAATTCCCACTCATACACCGCCGACTGTTGTAATTCCGATGTACCGGGTGTCCCCCCGAGGACGATCCCGGCACGTTGCATTCTGCGTTTATCTTTCCCTGCTTTCCATCCTTTCCCCGGTGTGAAACCGCTCGTTAACCGAGCCGACGCGCCGGCGGATAATCGAGCGGAATCGATGGCCGCGGCGAGAGTCGCCGGTGCGCGGAATTGTCTCGCTCGCCTGGAGCTCTCGCTACGAAACCGACACCTACGATCGTGTTTCGTCATACTGAATCGCGCGGAAAGCTACCCGTGCCGTCAGCCCCATGCGCATTTAACGTATCTGATGTCCGCAGGTTAATACGGTAATCAAAATCGACGCGACTATTACGCGACTCGCGGTAACACACGGCCGTCTATTATCGCTACGCGCGATACGTGTCATGTCTTCCAGTTTGTGTGCAACTTTGCGAAACGCAACACCGGCCGTTAGATGGTGTTACGATATTAACGGCGATTCAGGGGCTGATACCCGAGCGTGAAAACATACGGTATTACTCGTCGATCGACGCGAATGATACGCGGAATCACGTTCTCGCACCCCCGGCGAGACGGTATGAAATTCTGGCCCCGGGTAAAAATCCCAATGTTTCCTCTCTATTTTTTTTTTTTATTTTAATTGCAAGCGCTTTATCAATAATATCATTCGGCATGCGTTGAAAAATAACGCGCAGGTAGCGCTATCACGCCGGGTCGTATAGTAAATCTTCTTTACTTTAGAAATTTATTTTTTCCCCTCCGCCTCTCTCCTTCCCTCCCTGCCGTTCTATTTCCGATCGAGATAAAATATTTTGTCGGCGCTCTCTCGCGTCGAAGCGATCGAAAAATAATCTACAATCGATAATCCGATTTTAATATTTAACTGGGAATTTGTTTATTAATGTAGCGCTAACGACGCGTCGAAATACCGACGCGCAGATCCGCGAACAATCGCGAACGCCTATTGTGGTAGGCGCGTTCCCATCTTCGTACCCTCGTATTTCAATTCAATTATCTGTCGCTTTTCGCAGGGGCGGCTGAGAAAAGCTCGAAACACGGCGCCGAGGACAAGGCGATCAGCATAATCACGGCGATGAAAGAGCGGATGAAGCAGAGGGAGCGCGAGAAGCCGGAGATCTTCGAACTAATCCGGTGAGTGTCCGCTTACTGCCCGCCTCGCCGCAGCTTTCCTCTTCTCTACTTTTGTCACAGTGCCACGACGTTGTCAGAGCGTCACGACGAAGTCGTCGGTCGCGACGAAACGACGCATGTTGTTCGGAGCGCATCGTCGGTCCGCCTGTCTGCCGACGGTTCGAGGACGAGCGAGAGCAAGCGCGTCGATCGAAACGACGCTAAAGTTCGATCAAGACGCGATTTACCGGCCGTCCGTCGCCACTGCCTCGCTATTTTCGGATTGGCGTGTCTACCGGCCGAAATCGATGACACACGATCGCTGCACACATCGTTGCGTCCGTACGAAACTGCCTCGAGGAGAAATATTTCATGTCGCCTCGGACTCTCGGCCGAGACGGACGTTCAAAGCCGTCCTTTTAATCGCGGGACAATTAAAGACCGCCGCTGAATAATTGTCCGCCTCCCCTTTTCATTCGGGACTCGTCCGAGTTCCGCGGTCGAGTCGAGCGATTAAATCGCGAGACTCGTGGGAAGAGACGCGTTATATCGCGTATAAAAACGGAAAATCCGACGATCTCTCGTACGCGGGAAACCGTTGCGGCGCGGGACAGCCGCTTCGCTTCGGGAATATCGACGCGTCATGACACACCCCGGGGGATAACGCTTGGAACAATGCCCTCCCCCCCCCCCCCCC